CAGAAAAATATTTAAGAACTGTTCTAATTTGAGAAAAATACACCGAGCGTCTCTGTGTTTCGCTCCCATGCACATGAAATAAAAACGTTAAATAAATACGGAAATAAAAACGGAAACGTGGAAAAATGCAAGTTGCGGATTGCTAAAGCAGGTAAGCTACACTATTTTTGAAGAACCTTATTTACCATTGGCAAAAGAGCTGACACGTATTATGTGTAGAGAAAAAGCTGCTAAACAGCTCGACCTGCTGACCCCCTCCCCCTGAAAGACACAGTCATTCATAGAATTATTGAAATGAAGGATTATATCAAAAGTACACTGATAGAGCGCGTTAAGATGAGCAGATGTTTTTCACTGCAATTAGATGAGTCTGTAGTCGATTTGGCCAATTTGCTTGTTTACGTTAGACCTTTAAAGGCGCTATATCAAATAAAGTTTATTATTATAATATTTATTATATATATGTGTGAGTGTGTGCACGCACGCTCATGTTGGTCATTGAGAATTTCTGGGGTTCCTATGAGATGATGACTTGTAGGTGGTACTTGGATGCTTTGGTTGGATTAGGGGTGGTACTTGGTCCAAAAAGTTTGAGAACCACTGTACTAAGGTAAACTTCACAATTGTTTCTGCTCAAGGGACCCCCAGACCTCAACAAACATCCTCTCTCCTTTGAAGCTAAAACTGTGTACTCTTCCAAATGTCACAAAATTTATCTAAAATATAAGAGATAATTCTCAGTCACCTAAAGCTGTAGTTGCATGTTTTCTTGTTTTTGGAAGCTGTAGCTCATGTTGTCCATCACTTTATTACTTCTACCCTTTTCTCTCTTTATAATACTCAAAATTGTTTTTTGTTTTATGCAGATAGTACATTTATTTGTGTCCTGCCTCATCTGTTAACTGTTCCTGATTATTTTGGTGCTCTATTAGGAGATGTCTGTAGCTGTGCCAACCACTTCATATATTCTTGTATGAAGATTTCCTTTTCTTTGCATGTCATTACAGTCAACAATTTTATTAAAATTTTCAAACAGATAGATTCTGACTTGAACAGATGGACTAATTTTCTAGCAGCTTGGAGTGCTGTTGTTGATGAAGTCAAAGTCTTATTGCAAGGTCCTTCTTTCTCATCTATCTCATTTTAATTTGGGGATATTGAGGCTGGTAATATGGAGAGGGGTACCACTAATATCATGTGAACATATTCTTTTTTTTTGTTTTATTTATTAAAAAGTTGTCCTTGATGTGTAAAATTAGTCAAGTGTTCATAAAAGGAAAAAATAAAATTGTATTTATAGGGTTTTTAAAAATATGAGAAGGTGTTTTAAAATGTTAATACATGTATTTATAAAGCGATATTCCTATCATGATACTCTATTTTTAAAAGACCAATAGTGGAGAGTAGTGATATTCCAATATACATCTACAAAATGCCCTTTATTCTTGATTTTTTTATTATTTGTAAATTAATTTTAACTTTAATTAAAATACTACAGGATATATTACATGTTTTTAGGACTGTAGTTGTATCACAATTGTAAAGATACAGTATATGCTAAGTTTGAAGTATAACACAAAGATCTTCTATGTCCACATTAATTGAAATTGCAGAAATGCTACTATAATAATAATACTAATTAATAATTGCTTACACTTATTTAGCACTTTTCTGGACACTTCACTCAAAGAGCTTTGCTGGTAATGGGGACTCCCCTCCAACACCACCAATGTGCAGCATTCACCTGGATGATCCGACAGACTGTTCAGCCTGTTATTTCAAACTGACATGTTCAAGAACATTATTGACATACTTTCATATTCACAGACACGCTTGTATTTTTATTCTGTGTTAACAGTTTTGTATATTCTGTATACAGTTTTTATTTTTTATAGTAATAAAAAATATTCTTCAACTTTCCCTTCAGAATGGGAATAGCGAAGAATGATATATATCAACTAATGTTCAGTAACGTACACAATTAATGTATCATCAATGCTTGGCTACAGGAGCTTGCATTCTCTTTAGGGGTTAAATCTAATATTATATACAATAAAACTAGTAAATATAACATTAAATGGAGATATATCATTTTATATGTATGTATATGATTAGACAAAATTGATTTTAATTCTATATATTCTGTATTAAGATTTTGTGATGATAACCTTTCGTTGTCCATGGGGAATTGCTTATCATTAGGATGTTTTATAATTGTTTCATCTCCAGTAGTACATGCAAAGAGTACATGACTCATATCCCTATTACATTAAAACATAAATTGAAAAAAATGTGTGAATAGAATAAAAAGAATTAAATTTTCCTTTCCAATTTATTCATTATGTATCAAATGAAAAAGACTATGCAGTGCTACAACCCTATCTTTGTAAATTTGACTCCATTGACTTATTTTAAAACTAATAGCTTTCACATTTGATTTTGGTGACTTTGCAAAATGCTAAGTGGTGTTGAGAAGAAACTTATTGTACTGCAGTACAGTACTTATTTTCATTTAATTGTTGCATATTGATTTTCTTGAAGTCAATGAAACACACTTTCATTATAGCACAGGTGATTGTTTTAATTAAAATGCAGATGCAAACCCTTTACGCTTAATTTATCAATGGTTTGATAATCTGCTGTAGCTGTCATCTTCAGTAATATTCCAATGTATAGTACTTATTTCTGAGTTAAGCTTTGAAATGAAAAAGTTCCCAATGAAACATGTACATCTATTGTTTGTTAACAATTGTTTGTATTTTTTATTTTACTTCATACTCTCAATTTTGGAATTGGCAAGTGCTTCTTTATTCTTTGTCTCACAGAATTGACACATGTATAGCACAGGTCAAGTGAGAATAGGTAGAAATGTTCTTTCAATCTGGTCACACATCACATCCATTTGACAGTTCAAAGTCTGTACATGCCTTAGCACCAATTGGAGGTGTTATATGTCTATAGGGCAGCAGGTGCTCCAAAAAGCTTTACTGTTTTCCATGACCCCTTTCTGACTATACCAACTCTATCACTGGCAGCTCTCTGGCAATTGTGCACTGTTGTCTGAGCATCACAGTCTGCATGTGCAGAATTTCCCAATCCAGGGGCTCTCAGACCACACAACTGCTATTTCATTACTGATATTTTACCGGTATTTCATTCCACCTTAAGTTGCTTGATTTGTATTTTTTTAACTCCAAAGTTTGAGCTTTAATTTTATGTATGAAATGGAGTAGTTAAAAAACACCTCCAACATATTAAAGAGGAGAGAACAGTCAAAAGGTTTAGGTTAATCCTGATAAATTAAGGGATCAATTGTGTAATCAAGAGCTTGGTTGGATTAAAACCCAGTATGTGTGTGGTCCTCCATGACCAGGATTGGGAACTCCTTAAAAAGTGGATCTATTTGCCTACCTATCTATGATATGACACCTGCCTACCACTAGCTTCAGACACATATACAAACTTAACTGTTTTGTTTTATGCAGTGTTTAAAGAATATACATGCACATACTGTAGGATAACAGAAAATGTTATTCACAATCTCCTATTTTCTAACCATTCAATGCAATACAGGGTCACGGGAGAGCTGGGGCTTATCACAGCAAGTTAATTAGTAATCAGTTCTATTTAATTTATATTCCTGCATTGTTCGCATATTGTGGCAGTATGGGTAAGGGAGACCTGCAACTTCCATCAAGCTTCCATTAGAGGCCATTGATGGCCACTATTATCTGTAGTCTATAAATAAAGTCTAAAAATAAACAGTGTTTATTTATTCTATATTATTGGTGAGGGGTGTTTGAGATCATTCTGCTAGGGAGCTAATTAATGGTATTTTTGTTGTATAAAGGGCAGGCATGGTACAGTACTATGTTGTTAGTACTGTAGGTGTGTGTATCCAGGGAAATTTCTTACAATGAAGACTTCTTCATTATATTAGAGAAGTGCTGGTGAAATTTTAATGTTACTAGACCCTTGAGACACCTTACTTAGGTTGCAGACTTTCACACAAATTGCAGCAATTAAGTCAAAAAAGTGATAATAAGAAAAATTGGGTGCAATACCACTTGCAACTCACTGCTGTCCGGGTTCCATGCAAATTACACTGTAAAGTCATCAAAGCTATTAAGCACAAACACACAGTCCACACATCTGAACAAAGATATTATTCACACTTAAGCGAATGATGCATTATAACAGTCCATCCATCAGATAAAACGGTGAGGCCTTAACAGGTATTCACGCATTCCATCACCATTGGTATTTGTGTTGTGATTGGAAGAAGAGATACATCAACGTAATCAGTTGCAGTGAATTTTATTGAATTATGAATCATTTCACCACTCCTTATATGCAGTATGAGGGAGACATTCAAAAACTTCATTCGCCACACAATTCGAAATCATAGAGTTAGAATTCTAAGTCATACCCTCAATTAAGTCCTATTTTGTTGAATTACAAATGTATTCACTTTTTTTAAGCAAATATTTTAATCAAATCTTGATGCACAAAACTCTTAAGTTAAATGTCAGCAAAAACAACAAAAATAAACTAAAATGTTTATTGTATTCAATTAATCCCGCTGATTTTAAAAGAGATGGTAAAGTAGCCCATACATTGGGTAGAACATCTACTTACCATTTCAGAAATACTGTAACTGCTTTGCTTTTATTGTAAAAATGAAATATACTGAATTAACACTTATATTATGCATTTATGAATCAAAACAGCCTAAAAAGCTGAAACATTTTAGTGACCCCCTAGATAGGTGCCATCTACTTTCACTATGAAAACTATATTGTATTCAGCTATAAGCCATATGTTTTGCGAATTATTAACTTTTAAACAACAGTGCAAAAGAATACAGTATGTACTATTCTTTTAGGTCCTATATGATTTACATAAAAAATAAACTCCACACACTCCACTGAAAGCACTTCACAGACAATGGGGACTCCCCCCCACCACTACCAATGTGCAGCACCCACCTGGATGATGCAATGGCAGATAAAGTGCGCCCCATCTATCAGTTGCCTCATTACTCTGGTATCTTCACCACACATTGGTTACCAGTGGGGAGGAGAACAAAGAAATTAGGCCAATTGATAGATGAGAATTATTAGGATGACATGATTGGTAAAGACCAATCAGGAGGAAATCTGACCAGGACACTGGGGTTAACACTCCTACTGTTTTTTAAGAAACACCCAGGTTTTTTCTACCTCTTTTCTACAATATAGTGTCCCCATCATTATACTGGGCATTATCACCCACATACTGTAGACCACAGGGTGAGCACTCCCTACTGGTCCCACTAACACCTCTTCCAACAGCAATCTTATCTTTCCCAGGAGGTCTCAGGGTGATATATCTGTAGGTACTGATATTCATCCCACTTTATCTGATTTAGGAATACATAATTTTGATAAACGGTATTCATCCAAATAAATCTGATGTGTAATTATAAACGTTTAACATACAGCCTCTTTACTAATTGTTTGAATATTTTGCAGGTTTGGTCAGGGTTACATCCTGAATGTGAATTAATTTTCCAACTTGAAAAAGATGAAAAACAATGTCTAAAAGAAATTGCAGAGATTGAAAATCATATTATAACAGGTATGTTGGTAATTTTATTTATTATTAATTAAAACACTTTTTCTTTTATTTACCTCTTTTGAGCACACCATTTTATGAATACATTTTGACATACAGTCCAGGTATATCATCTGATAATAAAGATACGTAAAAGTACAGTTGGACATTCTTAATTTTAAGACCTAAACTAAATCAATGTCGCAAACCTATACATGTAGATGGAACAAATCAATGTTGCACATTCCAATAGGATAACGTTCTGCTGGTATAGAATTGGAACTTTCCTCCCATGTACCTGTATGTATCCATATTCTTATCTCTGTAAAGACTCACAATCGGTTCAGTAGACAAGGAAGAGAGCCGCTTTTCACAGGGGAAAATAAAAGGAAGGAGGTAGGGTGCCTCACTGCCTTCCACAGTGGTATCAGACAAGGTTTCAACACTAGGTCATCTCTTTCATACCCACTTCTGAATTTTTTTCCTATACAGTAAGATTTGATGTTTAAATTGAGATCACAAGCTGGTCTCTACTGTTTTGGTAAGTGTAAGCCATACCCTTTAAACTAAATTTGTACAGTACTCTTTCAATATGACACTTTTACTTGAATAGTTGCCATTTTTGTATGTGTGAATTATAGTCTATGGTACATTTCAAGAATTGCAAGTCACCTCAAACTGTCATTCACATGCTCTCCTCTCCAGCACTCTCTTTTCCCTCCCATGCAGTCCACTGAGAAGGACCTACTTTCTTCCTTTGAAAGCAGATTATGAGAACAGGAAGGAAGCCTTGCTCTCTCTGTTTTATGCAGTTACTTGAGCAGTCACTGTTTCTGCACAGGTCAGGTGGTAACATGTAGGAAATCATCCCATAGGCTTCTAGAGACTCTAGGGAACTTACTCTCCTGCTACTACAATGCTACAATACACGTACTTGTACTGTATGTTAAACTCTAGCAAAACATGAATATCTCAATGACTGTTTTCTTATCTGGCACTTGTTTTTCCCAAAAGGCTGTGAGCAGATTTGGGATGCAGTGGTATGCTGGCCTAGAACTACTATTGGCGAGACTGTCAATATTTCTTGTCCTACTGTTTTTTCCCTCTTTATGAAAAATCCAGGTAATCAGTCTTCTTCAAAATTCAATGCAAGTCCTAGTTTTATCAATTAAGCACTTTGCTCTAAATAATATATATACATGTTAAATGTGTCCTTAATACAGCCCTAAATCTAATCTGTATGTCTAACAGTACTGGTAACCTTTAACTAAACTTCAAAACAAGCAGTATCTAAATCAAATAGATACTATTTGATTTCAAATAATAATTAAATCTAACCTGAGCTTCAACCTTAAATAAAAAAAATTATACCACCTTTAAACAATTCCCTTAACCAAAATATGTTGTGCAATCCAAGCCTAGCTCTAATAAAAATTAAAAAAAAACATTCTTAAATCTGTAACCTTTCCCCTAAACCCACTTTAGTAATTAAAACTACTGTGATGAAGGGCTGTTGTGTGTCTTCATTGCACATTGCATGACTTCTAGGGTCTTTCATATTTTCTCATTCATTATTGATTGTATGTTTCATCCTTCTCATTCTCTAAGATATGTATGCAAAGGGCATTATATCATTGTATTTATATTTTATTATTACTTTTGTAAATTTGTTTTTCTGTATTGATTGGTTGTATACAATATGTCTAATTTATTGTGGATTCACAGTGTTGTTCTTTTTTTCCTGTTTCACCAGTTAGTGTCTGGTTAAACAAAATGTAATCTAATCCTCATGGTTAAATGGACATCTAATTGTCCATCAAGAGTTCCCAGTGTGGATCTTTGAGTATTTAACCTAGTATGGTGTAGCAATTAGTCTTGTTTTGGTTGTGAGTATCTGTGTGCTTTTACAGTTGCTTTATTTGCATTATTAAGCAAAAACACATATCTCAAAACCTAATATCACCATGGCCTTTTTAGGCTTAATCCATTTTTCCTTCTGTTTGATGTTACTTTGATGTACAAGTTTGATGTTACTTGTATTATAGGTACAATAAGCAGGAACTGTACCAGCGTTGGGTGGTCCAGCCCCTACCCACCATATTACATTGCCTGTAGTGTAGATGATGAACTACCATCTGAGGAAGTGAGTATTGTTTGCAAAAAAAGTTTAATTAAGTTTAATGAAGTATTTTTTATTAGCACATGACACATCAGAATAAAATAAAGGTATAATTTTAATAGAGATGTAAAAGATACATTTGTATTATATTATAGAAACCTTATACTGCAATCTCAACGAACAGAATCCTGTTTTTGGAATTTGATTATTGCTAACATGATGTAAATGTTTCAACTTCCTCTTATGAATTGTGGTGGTTTATACAATATTCCTGGAAAGTGGAAGCCTAACATCTTATGCATAACATCTGATGTTTTGTAGTTTGATGTAAGAATTTCACGTCAGGTACAGTTATAATTTTTTGCAGATTAGAAACAATAAGAAGTATGTGCCATATGACAGTATACTGTCGCTCACAGTTATTAGCTAGGATCTAACAGATGAGGATCTGACAGTTATGCCATGGATACAATACCTTACTTGCCAGACCTGAGTTCTGGTGAATATTTGTGAAATGAGCTGGGATGAAATGTGGGCTGTTAAGGGCTCAGAGACCACTGAATATACATATGTGTCACGGATATTGGAAAGGCCATACCGTGGAATGACCAGGAGAGCAGTAGAGTGTCACGAAGCATTCTTTCAGGACTCTATGCAGACTACACAATCCTGGGGTAGTGAAGAAAACACAGGGAAAAAGGCATGCAAGGGGGCTGGAAAGAAAACAGGGGACATGGCCATGGTGTGCTGGTGTTCGGGGAGGTGTGGCCAAGGCAAACAGTCCAAGGGTGTCCGAGTCAAATCCAAGAGTGAAGCAAATGTCCGAGACCAGGTAATCCATCCTGACAGACAAGAGTTAAAAGCCGGAGCGGAATCCGGTGGAGAGTCGGGGGAATTAAAAGGGGGTAACGGGACCAGACGCTCCCTAATCCTGGACTCAGTAGGTCAGGACGCCGTGATGAAGCCTATGCCGTCGAGTCGCTCCTGGACTCGCGGGTAGGCGGGCTTCCGGGCGCCCATCTTCCAAAGCTGAGCCCCGATAGGCAGGAACGTCTGGCTTATATAGCACGGGGGGCTGGAACCAGAGGTAAGTGCGGGAGATGAGTATAAAACAAGGAAGGGCTGGAGCGTCTTTAAGAGGAGGGGTTTACAATCGTGACATAGAGACCCTATGCGTAGTGGCAAAAGGGCTCAGGAGGTCAGACGATGTCAGGAAGAAACCTATTGCCTCAGGCCGCGGTGGAGACGATCTGGTGCTAGGCGGGTCTCAAGACATCCGAACCCTCAATGTTGAGGCAGGAACAAAGAGTGACCCGGAAATATGTAGCCTCACACAAAGACACACCGGAAGGACAAGTAAAGCACAGGGAAACTAGGAACAGGACAGAGAAGGAGCACCCTCTAGATGTAGAGGGCTTGACATAATGCTTATCCAAAATTTACAAGACGAATGGGACAGAAACCACAACAAATTAAGGAAGATGCCTGCACAACTGTTGCAAAAATTATTTTTCTATTTTCCTGATAATAATTTAAATGAATATGTTGCTGTTATAATTAATATATTTTGATGTTAAGTATGTAAGGTAACAATTTGATTGTAGTCTCTTTGACATCTATTGATTCTAGTGTCTTGTTTTAAATGGAAATTTATTCTGTAGTGCATTGAACTTTATCAAGGGATTATTGGTTACTGCCAATCCAACACCTTTCAGCCTTCACTTAGAAGGCATGCCATATACAGTATAGTGATAGTAGTGGGTGCAATGGCATGAAGCAGGCATTCAGAATTACAATTTCAGTAACTGAGTGCAGTGAAGTGGAAAAGTGATTCTTCAAGAAAAGCTGTTCCTGTGCTACTTTAATCAAAATAGAAAAATATTTTCTTATTAACATGCAGTTAATAAGAAAGCAGTATTAATATTTTTATTGTTGATTTTTGTGTCCTTTTGTTTGTTTAATAGAATAAGTTATACATAGTGTATATACTGGTGTGTTTACAGTATATACAGTACAATATATACTAATATACAGTATATGGTATATACTGTATATAAACTCGTGGATTCTTAAATATACCAGTTCAAAATGTCAACTGAAGGAATGGATTAAAAAGAAACCTTCCCAAAATATGGATGCTTTCCTCCCACACAGATTTATAAATTATTCAATGCAACATCCAAAGCAAATCTACTCTCCTTTGGGGGACATACACCTGGAAACATAATCTACCTCAGTATTTCTAAGACAATCATTAAAATGATGTGATACATAGTTATTTAAATCTCAACCCCAAGATAATTGAAATGTTTCACCATAGATTAAACCATACTTTGGGGAACACTATTCAATGGAAGGGTCAATCTAGCCTAATTTATTAATATCAATGAAAGTATTCATAATAGCCAAAAAGTAGGTGAATAACAAGTAAATGTGCTAAAAATAGTAGAATGCAGTTAGCAAAGATTATAATATGATGTTGCATGTTTTTAATATTGATGTGAATAGAGATAGACATAATGTAAATGTCGGATGTCGGAAAGGGCATGTCGTGGAATGGCAGGAGAGCAAAAAAGACCCAATGTGTAGCAGCAAAACAGGGGTAAGTTTGGGCTCAGCAGGTCAGACGATGTCGGGAAGCACAGGAAAACTAGGAACAGGACAGAGTAGGAGCGCCCTCTAGCTGTAAAGGGCGTGACAGTAAATCAGGAGCTGTCTCAAATGCCTCAAATGGGTGCCTGTGTGCACATTCTGAATAATATGAATGTTACAGTTGTACCATTGTAATAATGGTCTTAGACATTGGATGAATTGATTAATTATACATCAATTTAGTTTTTTGTATATTAGATTATAACTATTCAAATTAATGGCATTACCTTTTGTACAATATGGGTAAATACAAATAGTACTGTAGTGTGCTCTCTGAAAGCACCAGTTCTGTAGGGTTTGGGCATTTACTGGGACAATTATTAATTGTAGCAGTAAATCACAAAATTGATACTTTTGATGGCTTTAGAATCCAACCATGCGATATAACTCAAACAACGCACACACACAGGTACTAATACACGAGGATACATTTATTAAA